TAATTAACTTTATGAAAGATTAGAGATCTTCATTGCAGTCCCATTAACTCCACAACAATTGTAGTAACTTTGAAGAAGTTCTGAGGAATAAAAGGAAATGCTGAAAATTTTGGTGAAGCTCCACACTCAAACTGCGGGAACATGAGGTAAAATATGGGGAACTTACTGTAAGCTTTAAGATCCTCAAATCGGTTCTTTTAACAGCCAAAAAACTTTTATAAAGTCCCCAGAATTTCAGAGCACATCATAGGTGTTTAGCGAACTTGATAAATATAGAAAACATGAAGGGTGTTGTGCAAATGTTTAACAAGTTCTAAGCTCCTCAGAAAAGATAGATCTACAGATCTTTGGGGAATTTCAGATCTTAAGAGCAGTCCAGACTTTTGGGGCAGTTAAAAGATCTATTATCGTAAATTTAAAAAAAAATTGGAACAATTAAGATGTTCCGAGAATTTCAGGGAAGTACAGAGACCATCAGATAATTTAGGAAAACTTCAGAAATATGTCAGGAACTTCACAGACGTCCAGAGAATTTCTGAGAAATTTATAGTCAATATAATTGAGAGCTTTAAGGAAGCTTCGAGAACATCAAGACAGATCAGAGAATCAAAGGGCAGTTCAAATAATTTCATGGAAATTGTAGAATCCTCCGGATACTTCAGCAAACCTCCGAGAGAATTTCTGGGACGTGATAAAAATTATATGAACATCCGGAAAACGTGAGAGTATTTTAAGGAGATTTCAAGAACTTTAAAAAATGCGAAAATTTAGCTAAGTTGATAAGAGAATATCAACGAAGTTCCATTACTTAAAAAAAATGCGAGAACTTTTAGTAAGCAATGATATCTTCAAGAAATTCCAGAGAACTTCTAATAAATTTAGATAGTTTCATGATATTCAGCGAAGTTCCGAGTACTTCGAGGACGATCAGATAGCTTCAAAATAATCCCATTAACTTAAGCAACTTACAAGGAATTCCGTGGAGTAATGGGGTATTCCAAGAATTCTATGATTGATTCAAAAACGTCAGAGAATTTTGAATGTATATCAGAAAATTTGCCAGATTATTAAACAAATTTAGAGAACTTCTGGTAAACAAAGATAAAATAAGAAAATAAGAGAACGTTTATAATGGTTAGAATACTTAAGGAAAATTTTCGAAACTTCAAGGTTAAGTTAAGTTGCGTTTTCTTAAAATATACTGATAAATTCAGGGCAGTCTGGAGAACTTTAAAGATATTCAGTAACCGTTTATGAAGTTTTAATAACACCAGGGAAGTCTAGACTATTGAAGAAGTTTTAAATTAGTGTCGATAATTTAATGGAAGTTTCATGAACTTCAGAAAATGCTTGAGAACTTCAGAAAAAAATCATAGAACTATATTAATTATTTCGTTCGAATTTTATGAAAATTTCGGAATCACAAAGGTTCCAGAAATTTAGAAAAACTTCGAGAACTTCACAGTGGTCTTCAGAAACATTTCGAGAACCTTATAGAAATCTATGGAACTTAAGGGGAGATCCGCGAACTTCAGGAATTTTTATGAGCATTAGCAAAATGCAGGAGCTTTTGAAAGAAGTGAAGTAAATAACCTCCGAAAATTGGACGTATTTCGAGGGGAGTTCAGTTCCATTAGTTTCAGAAAATTTGTGGGAAATTTAAAGCAGTTCCCAGATTTTCAGATAACTTTAGAGACGTTAAAAAGTTAATTGAAGTCTTCGCATAAGTTCAGAAGTTCACTGAAGGTTAAACATTTTAAGGACGGTTCAATTAAATTCAGCGCATTACAACAAGCTTCATGAGAACTGCAAAAACTTAAGAGAAGTTTTGAGAATTTCAGAAAAAGGACAGAGAACCTCAGAGCAGTTCCGTTAACATTAGAGAAGTCATTCATTGTTGTAAAAAATATTTAGAATATACTTCAGAAAACTGTCAAAGTTACCCCGTTTTACGGTACCTCTTAGCCTTTTGATCAATTGTTACATGTTTGCCACAAAATTATTGCAAACCATCCTTTTTTTTTGAGAAATTATCTACATAAATTTTCAATTGGGCGCATTTGAGGAGCAATAAAGGAGAGAGGAGTGGGGTTTAAAAATTTGGGTACTGCAGTAATAGATAGTCGTTAGATTTCTTCATTCCTTTATTTAACGTCGGTCTCTGTTCCGTAATCTAGTGCCAATCACCGAAGGACATCGATTGCCATCCATTGACGGCAATCGAATGTGCAGGAAGGCAGCTTCCACACCTGCGTAGGATGTTGCACCCATTCAACACATGGGCCGGGATCAACGGCTTTATTTTCCTTCCGAAGGAAGACGTGACCAAAGATTTTTATGTCTCAGAAAAATCCCACCGACCTCGGCTGGGATTTTTATTTATTTATTTATTTTTATTTATTTACCACCGGCACCGGCTATCGTTCGATTTCATCAAACGACATTTTCGCGTAATGGAACAATGCAATGTCAGGTCAAAACTCTAAATATTATGCGCCTGCTACTTCTGCATAAGCCGCCAAACATTTATTTCGAATCATATGGTGAACAACCCATGGCGTCGAACACATAAGTGTGTTCCTATTTCAATCTAAAGTTGTGCAGTAGCACTCTTAAATAACTGTTCAATTAATTATCAGACACCCTGGTCCTGTTCTTAATTTTGAATTTAAAAAATCAATATTTAAATTTTGGAGTTCGAAAATCAAACAAAAAATGCTATAGATTGTAAAAATATGGGTAAACAACGGCTTCGGCAATAGCTTTAATTATTATCGATAGACCGAATTCGTACGCTCAAGAACTTTATTAACACCCGTGACGATAATAGGTAAAGGTATTTAGCCGATATAAAATCTAAATTTGGATATTCCAAACTAAAAATTCAACGAAATAGAATATTTAAAAAATAAAGTAAAAATCTGCTCATCATCTTCACCCTGAACACGGTTTCAGGTTATCTAACTTGAAAATGTTCGAGCGTTCTGCCCGAATGTTTTGAAACATATTTTCCACAAAGCCGATTCCGATTGGATTGATTCTGAAAAAGATTATTTCGTCACGAAAAATCATTCAACAGTACTAGTATTAATTTGCAGTTGCTTCGTAAATGGCACAGTTGCAATTTATAGAACAAAGAATTACTGCGATGAGCTATTCTCCTGAATGTGTACAAAGCACTGCAGCAGTGCTAAACACTTTGCAAACATTTGTCTTCCCAGAAAAAAATCCATCCTGCACAAGATACCCCTTAGAATTAAGGGCTTTCCATTAATCAACACATGACTTATCTCACATGCACGAACCATCTCTCGTTGCTTTTGAAATCCGCCACACCTGGCCACTTGACTTGGCTACAGTATAGAAAGCCGGCCAAAGAGTAAGATAAAAACTGTTATAACTTTCTCTTTTTCCTGCACTTCCAAGTCAAGCCACATCTTTCAAAATGAAAACACCACCCATCATCATCATCATCATGATCATCGCAACGGGAGGGGTCTGCAATCGTTGAAGAAAAGCTGAAAACAACCCAAAACCGGCCCGGTATCGTCGGATCGAGTTGGTCTGAACACCGCCCGGTGGACATGACCTACCTGACAATTTTTTTGCTTATGCATGCATACTTTCCCCGTTCGACTGTTCGATTTTTTTGGCTTTTGCTTTCCCCGAAAACGAAGGCGATGCATTTACAGTACTGCGATGCGCATGATTACGTGATCGCAATCCCGAGTTGTCCTTTTAAGACGATCGTCCTCGTTTTGCTTGCATTTGAGGAGGCTTTTAAATTCGCAGATCTTGAGTTAACTGTTGGTAAATAAACAATGGGTAATTTACTGGAAATTATCTAAATACCCCACAGGTAATCGCGTCGGCTATTCTTTTCTAATGAATCCGACTGTGATAAAATATGCACCAAACCAAGCATATATTTACATTCCGAACGGCTGATGAACAGCCCTTAACAGGCCGTGCTCCGTTATCTGGCTGCAGCGTGCTGCGCGATGGGAACTGTGTTTTAAGGTCGAACTTTCTTCGTTATGCAGTCGAAGAAGGAAACCTTGCAAATTCCTTTTTATGCATGTCATGGATTTGCGGGTAGATAGGTATGTAAGCCGAAGCACGGCCAGCGAGTGCATTCCAATCGTCGAGCTTCACCTAGTGCACTGTGGTGGAGCCTAGGGTTCGTAGCATTACTACCTATTTTTTCCGTTTTGTTGCTTTTCTCTATCTTCGAGTTTTGCTCTTTGTTTTGATCGCTAGCGGTCTAGCTTAGACGACGGAAATTTATGCAATATAAAATTACTACCCGGGCGTGGGCATGGTGCATTGTCTAACTTATGCAGTTAGCTCAACCTTGTACAAGCAGGTAGTGATTATCTTAAGGATAAAAAAAAATATGAATGCAGCAATAGCAGTTTTATAAAATTTAATTTGATTTATTGATGAGGCTGATCCTTGGGGCGACTTAAAACCATTCTTTGATTATTATAAAAGCTGTTGGGGGCAAGATGGCCAGCCTGCATGTAATAATTGCAAATCGTAGATTGAAATATTGCCTACTCTAGTTCTTTCATGCATATTCTAGCGCCTACGCATGAATACAATTCAATGTAGGGTAAGTGTACCACAATATTCGTGCGTTTTGTGGACAATTTAATAAACGTAAAATATTGTCAAAACATAGCCAAATTTTGGATTTTTTTTAAATAAATTATTAAAGATACTTTTTCACACCGTTCTCAGAAGCAAGACGGGACAAGACGTTCACCTATAGCAGAAGCTGCTTTTAAAAAATATCCACACCAGGCTGAACAATTAATTGATAGTTGTAACAAACGAAATTTGAAAAGTTTTATTGATTATTGTAAATTCTTATTACAGAGAAAGAGATTTTTTTCTGTACGAAATTTTTATCAGTTTCTTGACAGTTACTGAATATTTATAAATAATTTATGGAATGTTGCATCTTACGATCATTGTTGAATGGTACGTATATGCAGTTTCTAAAAATATAAGATTACTGATGTAATCTTAAAGAGTGCGCATCTTGCCTCGGACGGCGATCTTGCTCCGTCCAATCCTAATTAATGTTCTGAAATGTATACCTTAAATTACTGTTCCTATTGTCTTGAAATGCAATTTAGGATGCCGACACCACTCATCATAATTGAATTAAATTAATAGTAAACATTGACAAGATAGTCATGAAAGTAGGTAATCCACTAACAAATTATTCAAGGCCACAGGACCAGTACAGGCTAAAAGCTTTACATCTATAGTTTGATTCTGAACGCCTTCAAACTTGTTTCTTTCTAGGAAGCAATCGCAATACAAGCTCATTGATATGCGTCTTTGAACCAGTTCCATTTCAAATAAATGATCCTACTTAATAAAACCCTAAAGTGGCTCAACAAATCAAACTCGTCGTACGCAAGCACTGTGCGTTGTGTGTACAAAACATCAGTCTCAACTACCTGTACGAAGCTGATGTGTAAACCTACGAAACCCAAACTTTACATATACCTATTAACATCGATGATGACGTCGAGTTCAAACGGAGTGAATAAACTTATCAAGGTTTTCCGATGTTTTGGAAGCGTGCTATCGCCATTATCGAGACGACGAGCTCAACAACTCAACAGGTAGTCGCTGCCCATCATTACTAGCTTGAACGAGAATTTTGGTGGTTTGAGTTCAAATTTAGGTCGATGATTTCGGTTTGCAAAAAGCCATCATTCTACGGTCATATATCAGTCAATTCGCCATCGGATGGTTCGATTAGATAAACCAGACACGCTGTCATAGAGTGTGTCATTGACTTGTCTCTCTCTCTCTGCTCGAAATACGTTCATAAATTATACAGGTTAGGTTCGCCGAAAACAATTTGAATGGGTTTTTCGTTCGCGGAATTGCTGAAAGATGGATTTTTTGGGATTTATTATGCGAGGAGATAACGAGTAGGTAGGGTTCATTGGTCTACTATCGAGCTTTTAAAACCCTACACGATTAGTTACGATTCTGTCGAGCAATGAGGTATTTTCCTAGTGCAGTATAAATTTAACTGATTTAATCAACTACAAAATCGAAAATACTCACGCGTGAAGTGGTGTCCATAACAGGACATACTACCTTAAAAATCCTTCTGGTATCAAGCTAGTTGTTGTCCAGTTTTTGTCTTTATCGCAATTCAAGCTTTGGGTAATACCGAACGTGTTTGAACAGGTGAATTGTTGGAGTTACAATGACGCCGAAAAGGTGTGATGTCCTGGTTATTTTGCAACTGGATGCGAATTTGAGACAAAGTAAATTTTGTATGATACCTAATTTAAAAGTTTCCAGTGTTGCTTATTCGAGATACTTAAATACCTCTCTAGGCTAAGTACTGGTCGATCAAACCGTATTTAAGGGTATAGTGAATGTTAAGGATATGGATATTTTAATGTAGGGTGGCCACTCAACCGGGAAAAACCGAGAGAGAACCGCGAATCGAAACCAACCGGGAATTTGATTGCAATCTCAAAATATGGATGTATATGTTTTAATAGAATTCTATTATCTGCTAAACTATATATGTACTATATGTGTACGCGACTTAATTTTCCTTAGTCCGGGATAGAGATTCATAGAAAAGTCCTTCTTAGTTTCCGCACTTCAAGGTTTCACTTATTTTTCAATGTCCAAAGTTTACCGATCAAACTTATAATGGGACCTTTTCCAGACTTTTTATTTCTTAGACCGGTATCACTTTTTTTTGCAAACATGTACTCTTAACAACTGTTCGAAGTCTTTGAATTTCAAAAGTTTTACCAAATCCTGAATGCTAAAATAAAACAGCAAAATGGTTATCTTCCATTGATTAGTGGAAATGGCACTTATGAAGACATTGTAGTCGAAATACGTATCTGTCATGGATTCCAAAATTAATTAAGTGGAAGATAACAAAAAGTGTTTTACTGAATTTTGAATTTTTGTGTGGTTTTAAATATTCGACAATGTCTGAATTTCTTATATAGAATTTCTTGATTTCTAGAAGATAACTTATGAATTTCTTTAGAATCTCAAGATGTCTTCAGAGTTGCTTTCAGGGTTCCACTGAATAATCTTATGTTTCTTTTTAGCATGCCCTTGATTTGTGTTATCCATATCAGCCTTCTCTGAATACCCTTAAGGACACTCTTAGTATTCACTCTTCAATTATTTTAGTATTTTCAATAATTCTCGAGAAAACTCGCTTAAGAATTGTCTTGGAAATCTAATCTAATCTTATCAGAATTATCTAGGAATTCTCTGATTTCTTTTTTGGGAAATTCTCTTGAAATTCAGCCAAGCATGTTCCAGAAATTTCCTTCAAATTCTCCTCAGAATTAGACCTGGTTGTCACCGCGCCCGCCGCCCTCGGCGGTGAAAATCAACCGACGCGCCGCCGGATCAGTCACGGGGCCAGTCAAAATGTTGCCACGCCGGTGAAAATTGCTCTAATGATCCTTGAATGTCTACAAAGTTTCCTTAGCTTTACTTCCTGAAAAATATAGCTTCCATCACTTCCAAGTCCCATATTTTTCCAAATTCTCTCAATTCTATCAAGATATTAGATCACCCATGACTTCCAAACTTCAGGAATGACCTTGAGCCTTGTCCACGAATTTGACTAAAGATCTGAGCGAAACAAAGTTTCCAAATCAAAGCCTGCAGTTCTGAAGAGAATGCTATAATCTTAGCATTTCTATGAAACTTCACCGAAGGTCCTGGAATTCCTACGTAAATTCTACGAAATTCTCAAAATTATTATGGAGTTAGCTGCATTTCTTCAAACTGCCCTGAAGATCTTTCTACGGAATTTCCAAATGATTTTAAGTCCATTAAACTATTCAGAACACTGAAGCTAAATGAACTTTTATAAAGTTCTATAGAAATCAAAAAAAAAATCCCTTAAATTAAACGAAATTTCCCTAACTTTTAAAGGTTCCCAGTTGTATACAATTTTCCCGAATTTCTACAAAGCACCTCTAATTTCTTCGATTTCGTCTGAATTTATTCTCTACGAAATTCTCTGAACATCTCTAATGATATTAAAGAAAAATCACTGAACTTCAGCATAGTTTCTTGATTTTCTACACTAAATTTCTTTAAAGTTTGCTAATTTTTCACAATATTTGATGAAGTTTTACAAATTTTTCTCAACTTCTACAAAATTGCTAAGTTCTACAAATTTACCTGAAGTTTCATGTTCAACTGAATTTCACTAAAATTCTATGAAGTTTAATGAACTGGACTTTAATAAATTCAACTGAATTTTCTGAATTTCAGAACTTCAATGCAGCTCAATTAATGTATAAGAAGCTTTCATAAATTTTACAATGCTTTTTGGAGGTCTATGAAATTTCTATGAATTGAGATCCTCGTAATAGTTTCGAAAACCTTGTTGTAGTTAAGGGAATTTTGTTTAATTTGTGAAACTTCATTGATTATTAAGCGTAATGAAATAAAAATACATCAGGAAATGCCGTAAAAGTTCAGGAAATTTTATAGAACTTCAAAAATATCGCAGAAAATCAACGATATTCTAAAAACTTCAGAGAATTTTGCAGGAGTGCAGTGAAGTTAGTCGGAATTCAATGAACTTTGTCAAGAGATTTACATACGTAGCACTTCGAAAAACAAATCAATCAAGTTTGTAGAAGTTTAGGGAATTTCATAATAGCTCAGAAAGTATTTAACGCTCAGAACACGAGGCCTCCGGAAAATGTGTAACGGAAAACTTGCAATGTTTGAAAAATAGCTCAGCCATTTATTGACGAATTTCAAATCCAATCATACTTGAAAGATTTATTCGGTATCAATAGATTAAAAATCTATCGATAAATTGCTGCGAAATGATTTTTGAAACATTGCCACTTTGCCGTAACACATTTTACCAGAGGCATCGTGTTCGCAGTGTTAATACGTTCAGCATACTTTTTAAAACTTTACGATTTAACTAAAGAACTTACAGAAAGTTTAAGTATCATTGTATCTAAATTCATAGGAAAGGTTCATAGATGTTCTAAGATCTTGAACGAATTGAGAAAACGTGTAAAAATAATAATTATGAAACTTGGAAGAAGTTGAGAAAATTTCCAGGAAGTGTGAATGTTCGAGGGACAATCGAGCAATTTTCTCGTCCTTCCGTATTTTTTGATGTTAAAAGCCACCTTTGCCACTTGTTGAGTAAAGTGCTGCATATCGATATGTAGTAGGGTTTTTTTTTAAACCAGTTAAACAGGCTATACCGCCGTCGACTGAAATCGGCGTGATGCCGCCGACGCGGATGGAAAACAGCATATAATGCCGCCGCAGACAAAATTTTGCTTGGCACACTATTTTGATCAAGTCAAAACTTGTAAATCAATTCGTAAGATATGGTCTATTTTTCAATTCCGTTTAGCCTTGTACCACTCAACAAGTTTATAACTTGACAATTTTTCAAATTCTGAGTCTTCGGCAGTTGTTTGACATCCCGGGCTTAGACAAATTATTTTTATTCAGAAAAACGTACCAGCAATTGGCCAATTTTAGCTACGTTCGATATTGATTCCTAACTTCAAACCCATATAAGGATAAAATGTAATAAAATAAATGACAGTAGAAATTATAATAAAATAATATAAGTTTTTGGAAATTTTCGTTACGTTACAACGGAGCCAGAGCGCTCTTTGTGGAAATCAAAACGATCACAGCCTCATCAAGATGAATGCTAATCAGGGTGTCGACTATCTGAAAAAAATCTGAAAAATCAGGGAATCTCAGGTAACTTCTTTCAAATTCAGGGAAATATTGCTTAACCACAGAAACTTATTAATAAGTATGACTGATATCGCTAGTTTCAAACAACTTTATTATTGGGTGTAAATTAAGAATGGATGTTTATTTCAAATGTAAAATATTGTTGCGAACTTGTGCGTCTGCACGATCCATCTTTGTCAAATAAAAATCATTCCTTTGAGCGCATTGGAGTGCCTTTCAGTTAATGCAAGAATGGTAAAGAACTAAGAGAAGAGGGCACAGCCTGAGATTCAACTAAATGAGAATTTAGGATATTGACGAAGACAACAAATCAAGAAGACTGGTAAATCTTCCATTTTCTCATACGAACGCTATGAGACAGGTACAATCGGCGCATCTGCCGCTCAAAGGTAAATTCTTCGAACGAATTTGATAGCAAAGATTACATCCTCAGAAGAAAGGTTTGTGTATTTGTTCACTTTTCTATGCGTTGCTTCCACCTTCACTCAAGCGCAGCGCTGTTGTATCTGTCACTTGGATTCTGGCAAAGTTGCCAGTCTTCTTGATTTGTTGTCTTCGATAATGGTCTTGCTAGGATGGGTTTTTTTATTTATTGCTTAGAGTAACACTTTTATGATTGAATAATGATTCAAAGATATGTAGACAAGCATTGCCTTGACAGCATAGAGTGGCTTTATTGAGTATTCCAGACCTTCATTGTAAATCTGGTTAGCTAGGAAAATTAACTTCTCAGTGAATCTAAATAGATTGATGAGCGTTTTAGTAGAATAATTGTATGCCTTATTTTAATTCTACTACTATTGTATCACTTTCACTAATTCACTATTCACTTTCACTATCACTTAAAAAACTATAAAAGATACGTTTTCTGCTTGCAAACTTGCAAACAAATTAACTTACATAATTTTGGAAGTGATAGCGCTGGTTTTAAGATTTCCCATCGGTGGAACCGGCCGCTAATTAGCGTTTGGTTAAGCGTATTATCCGGAATAATTCCCTTGCGAAGCTGGGTCTCAAAATATGCTCAAGCGAAAAAATATAATGGGATTAAAGCAGTGGCGTTTCCTTAACCTCAATCTACCTGTACCAACTCTCAAC